ATATATACTTTCTCTGCAAAATCTCTAATCTCAGCCATCTGTACCTGCTGTCCAATCTTCCCCCTGTGCTCTCTTTTCTTATATCCAAGTAGAATGTATGCCAAGAGCCTTTTGCCTCTAGCAGTTTCTGCTAACACATCCAAGTACACTGTTTCCTTTTACAGTTAAATTATTATATTTATTAATTCGATAGAGTAATAAATCCTCTCTCTAGCTCTGGCTATATTGTCAATAAAGAGATGTAAGCAACAAGTTGGCTTTTCTTTTTTAAGTTTAACTGTTGATTAGAACATTCTCAGATGGGCAAGGCTTTGTGTAAGAAAAAAGCTCAATATGATCAAATTTTCTTCTGTATCATACAAGGTGTGAACGTTGTTGCAAAGCACTTGAGAATGCTTTCACTTTAAACATCACCCTTCTAGCCCCAGACTATACTACCAGTATACATCTGAATCCTCAGTAGTATGAGAATATTTTGTAAGCACTTGAGTTCCAGCTCATTTAAGAATAGTTTTTTTCTAAATTCTTAAGGGAGTATATTCTAACAGCACATAAATAGGTGCTTATTTTCTCTATGAAGAAATCTCCATTTTATTCAAAAGGCTTTCATGTGATACATTTATTCCCTGAGTGGTGCTACAGAAGAATGCTTGGAAAATGCTAGACTTTTTGTCCTTAAAGGTATCCGATATGTCAGAATAACCAACTATAATGCAGGAGAAAGGCAGCTTCAGTAAACATACAGCGAGTAAGAACACTGAGGCAGTGTTAAGAGATTGCTCAGCTAACTCAGCAGCCTTGGACATTTCCCTTGAATCAATGCAGGCTGGAATCTGCCTGTGATTGGAAACTTCATGGTTAATGATACTTAATTCTTTCTGATCTAGAAGACCAGGCAAAGACAGCTGAAGTCCTAGCCATACCCAAGACTACTCTATCCAAATGCATCTTGCTCCTCTGCTTTAGGGCTTAAGTAAGCAAGAGTACATCCCCAAAAGTTAGCAGCTGCCTACCTCAAAGCCTTGGTGGGTCCCAGATAGCTTTACTGTTATTCTCTACTAGGTTTTACAATATAAAGAAAAGGACCTGTGCTACTGTGTGTTTAACAAATTCAGCTTCTTAGGGGATAGTGATGGTCACCACTAGTAGCTAGAATCTTCTGAAACAAAGATTATGTCATCCAGGGGCGAGCCACATCATCTGGCTGCTTTCTGTTACCCTTGCCATTTCTGCTGTATAATCCCCAGTTATACTTATTATACAGATCCTTGTTAAGTAAACAAACTTTACATACTGTTGATTTCTACTTCTTCCAAAACCCTCTTGTGTTTTTTTCTAAAATAATATACCCATCATTTGAAGCATTATTTATACAAATGCATTTTATTGTTTTGAACAGAACAAAAGCCAGAAAATATTTGCGTATAACAAAACCTAGCTTATAAATGTTTGTTTGTAGTGGCAAAATCTTAAATCGCTTAGGGATTACTGTTTTAATTTTTACTTTATTTTTTACTTTACTGTGTCTTCCATTGCTATTAGAGAAAAGCACATCTGGCATAAAGTATAAACCAGTGTCTCAAAACACTGGAAGAACTTTGAAAGCAAATATGATTTTTCTTATTTCCTCTAAGTAATCTTTAGTAAAACAAAAACTGATCTTTGGCATAGATTCATTCATTAAAGGCATTAGTATTGCATTTGTATCAGGTAAGCAGCTATACAGATATGCTAAGGTGGGCTTGAAAATAATCTTTCATCAGTTAAAAGGAAATACAGAAAGCCTGAGTGTACAGGACCAACTTGCAAGAAGTTTATATATTTGATGTTGGGATCTCTAACACACATTGGGGATGAGAAGGAAGGACATTCAGACAAGGGGTCTTACTCCTTTTTCCTCATCTAGTTCTGGGTTTTTGAAGAAACCATTGTATACACTGGGCAATGCTTAAATAACAGTTAAGTGCAAAAATAGAAAAGGTTGCCTTCTCTCTCACTTTGCTCAATAGGAAACTTTCTGTGGTGATGATTAAAAATTATGTTTATTACTCTCTTAATCAGTTACATTTAGGAGAGTTACAGGGGCCTGATTATGTATGGTTGAAAAGAGGTAGGAATTAGGAGGAGGACTTCCCCAGCAGCACCCAAATTTAGTCTGCAGTCACTCCTGTCTCTTAAGTATCCTTCAGACAGTATGACCTTCCCATTAAATAATCTTAGGTGGAAAGCATAATTCTTAGGACTCAGTTTCAAAAACATAAGATGAAAAGGATCTTTCAGAATTACAGTTGAAGCCAGGCACAGTGGTACACACCTATTAGTCCCAGCTCCTGGGAATCTGAGGTATGATGAGCGCTTGATTCATGATCAGTCTGGGCAACAGAGGAGACCCCATCTCAAAACAAAAAATTACATACGAACACACACCTACTTATCTTTAAAATCTTGTTTAGGAAAGGTATAGGAGAATACAAAAGCCAGGAGACATGATTTGGTTAAAAATTAAATGCAGCATTTCAGCTCAGAACAAGTAAGAGCTAAGAATGAATGATAAGGCCTCCACACAGATCTCTGCAGGCAGTGACAAAGCATGGACCGCCTGGGCATGGCCCTGCTGGGAGGATAGGCAGGGCCACACCTAAGCCACTCTGCCCCTCCAGTGGCAGAGAGCACCAGGACACACAGTGTGTTTGTGGGGTGTTACCTTGGCAGGCTGAGGCAGGACTTGGGACAAGAGGCTTCCCTAACAGACATTGCTCAGGGTCATCATAAAGACAGAATCAAGTGATTTCCTCTTGACAGTGGAAAGTCGGTTTCATTCCGTTGGACACCAGGACTAAATTGGGAAGGGCAAGAAACAGGCTGGGAGGCTGGGGTTCCCCAAAGGCTACCTTTTTCGGCAGCAGCAAAGCTTTTGAAAAGGGCCCAGGTAGCACAACAGCCCAGGGGAGGTGGGCAGGGTCAGCAGCAACAAGGAAAGCCCAAACATTTAGTAGAGGCACAGTGATTTTCCTAACTGACTTGCTTGGGCCCTTGGGTCGGGGGGGGGGGGGGCGGGCAAGAGGGCAGTGTCCCCTAGGGAATGGGCAGAGCAGCATGGTGTCTGGCTAGTGTTCACGCTTGGATTCTGAGCTTATGTGAAGTCCATGGCTAGAGACCCAGCCCTCCTACTGGGATAGAGTGCATGAGTATAACTGTGTTCGAGAATACAGGGTTTATATGAAGATACATTTCAAAGTGTCCATGACAAAAGAATATAATGTTTTAAAGAGGCCCCCTTTCCTTCCTGATACGTGAGGCCAGAATGGAGCTTTCAAACCCCAACATTTCTGGGTCATTCCTGGAACTTCAGTAGGGGTTTCAGTACCAGCAGGAGGTACACTCGGTGCCTACTGGTACCAGGGAGTCTTTCTGACCCAGCGCAGGGTAAATCCAGCATCTGTTCGGATTTTGATTGAAGCAGCTTCTGCCTCTCGTACAGTTTCCTTCACAGACTGCATGAGGTTCTGGGCATTGTGAACCAGCATCTCTGTGGCCTGTTAGTAAAAAAGAACCCCAGTTACTGTAGTCCTAAGGCAGTCCTGTCTCCATAGCAGAGGTAAGCCAGGAGCAGACTGTGGTTAACTTTTCATCTGCAGCTTCCATGCTTGTTCAGATTACTGGAGGTTTCCACCACAAAGCACCCAAAACTAGACAATCACTGATTGTGGACTGTGCCCTCTGTGTATACTCTTCACTGATACTCAGACATGTTCCTCCCTCCAGACTTGTGCTCTACCTGAAATACTGTTCCCACAGGGATCCCACAGTTGCCCCACTGTGTCCTTCAGATCTCTGATTAGCTGTCACCTTGGTGAGGCCTTCCCTTTCATATTATTGTAAGTCACAATCTACTTTTCAAACCCCCAGAATCACTCATCTCTAGTTCTTTCTTCATTTTTCTCCGTATATTTTCATCATCACTTACTTAGTTTTCTGGTTTAGTTTTGGTTTTTTAGGACAGGATCTCACTATATAGCCCAGGCTGACCTAAAACTGGTGGCAGTCTTACTGCCTCAGCCTCCTCAGTGCTGGGATTACAGGTGTGTACTACAGCACCCAGCCATAATCACTAATTGATACCTTTACTTAGATTGGGGGCTATGTTTGTCTCCATTCTATGAGGGCAGAAATTTTTCTGAGTTTTGTTGTTTCTATTGTTTCAGTGTTCAGGACAGTGCCTGCTACAGAGGAAACGTTTAATAAATATTAATGAATGAAGGAAAAAAATAACCTACCAAGCAACTACCTTAAAACTACCTTTTAATGTATTTAGTACAGGGTCTCACTCCACAGTTTAGACTCGTAGTGATCCTGTTTTCAGCCTCCCAAGCGCTGGGATTATAGGCATGCACCACCACACACAGTCTCAATTGCCTTCTCATCCTGGGAGCAGGGCCAGCATGGCACACTGGGGATCGAACCACAGCCCTTGCATCTGCCTAAGCAGGTGCTTTAATCCAGTGAGCTATCTGGCTGGCCCTCAACTACTACCTTTTAAATCTTTCATCTAAATTACTGCCCTATGAATGGTAATAAAATTGTTACTATTCCAAACAAACTTAAAGGACTAGAATCTTTTTGATATTATCATAGGAAGTCTTAGAAGTTAATGATTCTTTCCCTCCCCATAATTTTATTGAGAAATAAATAGCAATGAGAGAGTTTCAACCCAAATTGGTAGGACAGTTTCAATAATTAACACATTGCATACATTCTTCCTAGTAGTTAATTGCTGTAGAAGATGCAGACATGATATCCTATTTACAAACAATATTACAACAAATCCCTCTATTCATTAAGAGAATGTAACTATATATCTATCTTAACCATTTTGAATACACAGATACAAAATGGACATTCATCTGTACCCCCTTTTTTTGTTTAGTTCTGTTATTTGAATATTATAGATGTGTTAACTCAGCAAAATATTAAGAGTCCAGTAGTTGTAATAATATTGGGTCTTCCACTTCACTGGCAATGTCAGAAATTGTTGACAAGAGTCCCCTACAGCTCAACATAACACCATGGCTTTACTTCTTATACTTCGTTTTTATACTTTTCTGCTGGATGGTTAAGACCAAGATAAAGCAAGACCTATGCAACAAGAGTTGTAGCTTTTGGGTCTGATAAGGTCAGTGAAATCCCCTCAGGATTTATCCTGAGATCCTGTACCTCAGATTGTAGAACCTTTGTCAGTGTCAGCCATGTGGATGAGTCACGGCCATTGCTTGCCCATTGTGCTCTCTGTGAAAGCCTGAGAGAATGTTTTCTCTCCATGTCACTCTCCTTAGGCACACTCTACATCATCGATCACTTTCCTCTTTGGCCCCATAATCTTAATCAGAAAATTTGGGACACTACCGAGTTACATGAAGTTACAGTACAAGTTCTCATATGTCCTGAGTCTTAGTTGACCTTGGAAGGTTAATGATTCTTTAACTCAATAATTCTTTGTTTGATTGAGGTTGTGTTTTGTTTTTGTTTTGTTGAGACAAGATCTCACTCTGAGATAGGTGTGCAGTTCAGGCTGGCCCTTGAACTCAGTGATCCTCCTGCCTCACCCTCCTGAGTGCTGGAATTACATGTATGTACCACCATGCCCAGCTGTTTGGAGTTTCGTGTTGTGTTTTTTGGGACAGGAGTCTCACTTCTGTAGTTCAGGCTTCCCTCAAACTCACAGCAATCTCAGCCTCATGAGTGCTAAGATTATAGGCATGTGCCCTGTGTCCTCTAACCTAGTAATTCTTAATTATTTTTGATTCATAGATCCTTTGAGGATTTAATGAAGGATTTGGGCTTGAGAGTTTAATGATTTTTCTCTCCAGAAAAATCTTCACATGCATAAAATTTTTACTTGAAACTTCAGAGGGTTTACAGGTTCTGAGAGAAATAACTGGCCTAAAATTCATCATCAGTTGGTCTTTTCATTTGTCAACAAAAGGACTGAGGCCCAGAAAGGTATGGGGCCTTGTCAACCAAGTTCACACAATAAAGTCAGGACTCAATACTAATGACTTAGAGCTAAAGTCAGGCCTGGTGGCACACATCTGTAATCCCAGCATCAGCAGGCTGAGATGGAGATCACAAGTTTGAGGCAAGTCTATGTTACCCAGCAAGTTCAGCTGTGTCCAGACCACATGCAAGATCCTGTCTCAAAAAAACAAAACAAACCCAGCTTCTGACTTGCAGTCCTGTATTGGTTCCATTCTTGCACATTGTCACTCTCTGCCTTTATGTAGTAGAACACTTATATATTCCCAAGCTGCATTTCTGTTGCTCAACTATGATATTAGGCATGAGCCTCTTAAGTGTTTTCCTTTCTTTCCCAGTTTTCCCAATTTTAGGCAGAAGAGAGAGCAGGGCAGGTGCCCAAACTCTGCTTAGAATGCATGGAAGTCAGGGATAACAGTGAGGTTGAGGTAGAAGCTGGAGTGATGGCACCAGAAATAATGTTTCCTCCACAGTGCTCTTAACCTCTGCCTCCTGGTGTACAGAACAGAATAATTAGTCTCCCAAATTATTTTAGTTCCTTGAGTGAAGGGATTGTGTCCATAATTCACTTAAGCTGTGTAGCTCTTAATACAGTGCCTCACACAGACTCCCTCCCTATCTGTCTTATCTGAGCTATCAACAAAAGGGAACTCTTTCACAGGAAAGCCTCCCACAGGGAAGGAAGGTCAGGACAGGAAAGAGCACTCAGGAGAGTTTTCTGACAGACCTGGTCTTCTATTCCACCAGACAGAAAAAGACAAACTCAAGAAATGATTGCTAAAGTGCATGCAAGAGGCCTCTCCTAAGAGAACCCTCTACCATCTTTAATTCTATCTCTGTCAAAAACCCAAAGAAAATCAAGAGGAGCACCTCCTTGAGCAGCTATTTCAGTCTCAGCACAGACCCCTCCACCTTTTGTCCCTGAACTTCCCGCATTAGTTGTCCCCTTGAGGCTAGAAATCACTTAGATCTGGGAAGCAGGCTTTCTCAGCACCAGAAAGAACAGGTAGTGAACAGGCACTGGAGGCTCAGAGAGCCAGACCTAGTCCCCACAGGAAGAGAACAGAGCAGATTCCAGGGTGCCACACTGTCATCAGATGCTTGGCCTCCTTACACCTCACGGTCCTTTCTGTAAAATGATGTAAGTTGCATAAGCACCTCACTTCTGGTCCCAAATTTCTGATGCATCTCTCCCACACAGACTTTCCTCCTACAGCAAGATTCTTGAGCACATCCAACACACCAAACACTTGATTCAGAAGTAAAACATCCCTAAGACTGAATTAAATTAAACCACACAGAAGCTGCTGGCAAGAAATCTCACGCTGGAGACACATACCTGCTCAGACTCCTCGTCACTGATGTTGGTCCGGCCCAGCATAGTGGCCTTCACCGTGGACAGAATCTTGAGCTGGGTGCTTATGGTTGGGATCCGCTCACACACCTGAAGAGCAAGTTTACATTAGTGTGTGTCCATGCCTGCAGGCTCCCTGAAGGCAGGACATCGGCCCTCCACTGCCAGGGGCTGGCAGAAAGCACTCCTCATTCATCAGCAGCACAAATATGCTTGTTTATCCCTCAGGGCAGTCCAGTCCAGAAATGGAAGCCAGATCATTAATGGGATCAGAATGTAAACTTTGGTTCCACCTTTCCCCAGTATATATGTCTCTGTCTGCTATTTTCCCCGATTGCCTGTTCCTCCCCTACTAGGCGCAGTTGTCTCTCTGCTGCTGTTCTCTCTCAAATCCCTCCCACTCAGTCTCTCCCTCTTGAGCTGGGTGTCCACAATCCCTCGATCCCTCCTTCCCTTTCCAAGTACTGTACCTGCAAGAGGTTGGTTCTAATCCGCTTATCTGTACACTGCTTGGCAACCTCCTTGGCCAGCCGAGTCACTTCATCTGAGGCCTTGGCGATGTCCTTGGCACACTGGATGAGTGCCCGCTTGGTGCCGCTGCCGCCTCTCACCAGCCGAGACATCTCAGCCATCAGCAGAGCCATGCGCTTGGCTGCTGCAATGATGTCATTGCCCTGGGAAGAGGCAAAGAGACGGTGTGAGCCGTGCCCACATTCTGGCCATGTTAAGGAAGGACACAGGCCAGAGAGAAGCCTGCTGCTCTAGCAGCCCTCTGAAAGGGTGAGAAGATTAAAGGACTGCTCTTGAGGGACAGCAATGGAAAAATAGAAAGAATGAGGCAGGGCACTCACCCCAGCACTCAGCGAGAGAGAGAGAGAGACAGACAGACAGACAGACAAGAGACAGAATTTCCTGACTGAAGAAAAGGAAGACCTGGAGATGAGTCTGCAACGGTCACGTGCATTTTTTTCGGAGCACAACACTGAACAAGCACTTCAGCATCTCCAGGTTAATCGTGTCAATGAAAGGGCTGAGGAGCTGGTTAAACAGGCATCGTCACTGCTCTAATGGGGGAGAAAGCAGCAGGGCTGGCCATGGAGGAGCCATTCGAAATGCGAAAATCCTCCTCATTCTCCTGGTGCAGACAGCAGCCAAGGACTCTAGAATTTAAAATCCCAAGATGCTATCCTCAGCCTGAGTGAGAAGATAAAGGGGGGCATGTTATCTTAATTTTTCACATGCAAAAAGGTCAAGAATCAATTCCACAGTCCCCTCAGCTAATCGCAACCTTCTGGTTAAAAGAAATGAGCTAATAAGAAATACGGGAAGGAAAAAATACACATTACAAGTCAGGCTGTAAGCAGAACCTCTGCTCTAATGGCAGTTTATCTTAAACTCTCATGGCTCATAATATAGAAATAGACACATGAGTAATTTATTGTATACTCATAGTGACCTAACATTATAGGAACTGCTTTCTTTAAGACTACCTAAAAGGCCAGGCCCCACTCGTTTCTCTCCTGATGCTTCGCAGTGCAGTTTCTCTCCAGTACCGTGAGGTGTACATGAGCCATGCTCTCGCAGGGCACTCCACAGACACTGTAAAGCTGCAGTTGTTTATGCTGGAAGGTGCGTGAGGTCTCAGGCAATGAACCGAGGGCTGGAGGGAACACAGGTGTAGGAAGGAGCCCCGAGGTGAGAGGTGTGTTAGATAAAGCCCTCTGACACGCAGACCTGGGATCATTCAGGATTTCATGGCTTTGGTTAGAATATAGCATACTGCCATAAGGTTAGTGGTTACCCATCACTCTTGGCACCCTTTGGTCTTATAACATGCCACCTTCAAGGGGGAAAAAAGTGATCACTCCTACCCTCTTCTCTCCCAACTAGCATCAGTTCAGTCCCCAAGGCCAAGCTCTGCTGCTGCCTGTCCTGTGGCCTTGAGCACTGGGTTTTCCATTCCCAACCCTCCCCCAGGGACACCTGAACAAGCAGTAAAGCCGTCCCTGTGGCCATTATCTGCCACAGCCCAGTGCCGGCAGCAAGCAGTCCTCTCCAGAGACCCTACTATCTGAAACTGTTTCTCACCCTCATCACCTGGGCCAGAGCCATCAGTGAGAGCTCAGTAGAGGCTAGACAAAGCTCAATAATGGTCAGGCCAGGTGACCTCTTAGTAGCCTACCGTGGCTTCTGACCTAGAAATCAGTGAGATGCACCCAGAGCTTTCCAAGAGGCTTAAAGTTCCAATAGTGGCCACAATGTTGGTAAGAAAAGGAATCCTTTCAAAAAGGGACCCCCATTTCTCTTTACCCCTCAAACATAAATGAATCTAGCATTAGCAGACCTATCAAAACTTGTGAAGCCAATCCTACCAACAAGTGCATACAGACAGACGCCCGCCCTGCTCAGACTCACAGGACCCGCACAGACCATGAGTGATGCAATGTGTCAAGGCTGCACATGGCTGGATGCATTTGGAGCAGCCCCCAACTGGGGGTGCTATCAGTACCTTACTAGACCACTTGGTAGCTTCCCGATGCAAGGACTGAGCCGCGGCCAGAATGGGCTGGTTGACCGGCTGATTGGATGGCATTAACAGCAGCTCAGGTTCATAATCGTCTTCCATGTCAGAGGGGACAGGGAACCCAACAGCATCAGCCGCATCTGCCTCAGCTACAACTCCTACACCCACCTCAGCGGCTGGGATACCCGGCTTTGTTGATGGCGAGAAGGATGAGAAACAGGGACAGTGTTAGTAAGAGCAGTAGGACTTGGGAAATGGAGCTTCAGTTTGTTTAGTAACCAAAGCTTTGCCTGGGCTGGGAAAGACCACAGCATACTTTTCAGGAGCCAGATGTACCAAGGTCCACAGAGGGGGAACCCATACTCCAGCATCATTCAGCACAAGCTACCCTGTGACAAATGAAGTACAGGAACCTGCTCCACTAGCAGAGGGTTCCAGGGAAATATTTTTAGCAAGAAAACAAGTGATATTCATTTTTATACACTTAATTGCAAAATTAAATTTGACAAGAGTAATTCTAATGTTAGAACATTTTTGAGGAGTCCAACAAGCAAATAATAATTACCTTTAATCCAGTGAGGGAAAGTAAATACAGCCAAGCCACAGAAGTTACTTTGAATAGAACCAAGTAAATACCCTGCTAGATCATATGTATGAGTCACTTCTACATTTTCTTGGGACACAGGAAGTGACAATTGGCTCTATAGCTGCCAAATACAGATTACTTCCTTTAAGAATTAAAGTCCCAGGGCTGGTGAGATGGCTCAGTGGTCTAAAGCACCTACTTAGAACAAACTAAGCCAAGCAAAGCACAGGGACTGCGGTTCAATCCCCCAGCACCACATGCCAGCCAGCCCTGCCCTCTGGTGGGCTGAGCTGGCCACACACACAAACAAATAAATAAAATTAAAAAAAAAAAAAGAATTAAAGTCCCAGACATGAAAATGATATATCGAAGATAACATACAGGAAACCAGGAGAGAGGCAGGAAAACCAACAATGGTGGATGAAGAGGATTTATCAAGTTCCTGGCAAGTACCAAGTCATAAGAAGCCTCAAGATACCTTGTCTCCCCTCCCATCACAGGGACAGCCACACATAACCAGCGCTCTCTGCCCTCAAAGTCTTTAGGGACAGTTTTCATACTACCTTACTGTACCCACTGCTAAGACCTACCCAAAAGCTTATTATCCTTGAGGACACCCTCAATCTTGCTTGTTTCAGAACAGGTCCTCATCTCAAACAACTCATCTAGTTCACAGAATGGATGATGCACAAACCTGGCAGATGACTGAGGAGAAATTCAGTGGAACCTAAAATGGCTGCATACAAGAGAATAGCAACCATGAGGGAAAGAACATGAATTAAGTACCAGAGGTGGGGATTATGAAAGGGCAGAGAAGCAGATAGAGAAGCTGAAAATAGGCTGGGATGCTGAGAAAAGATACTGCCTCAGTGAATCCAAACCACTTACACGAAGAATGATCAACGTAGGTTCCTTGAATCAAACATCAGTAACCAAGAGGGAATAGGAGGTTATATGAAACTTTGAGGTTGCTATCACTCCTGAAACACAAACCTTGCTTCTAAGTGAAAGTGGAGCTGGAGTAACCAAGGCCAGCAAGCACCATCTAAATCCTTTCCCCTAAACCTTTCCTCAACCAAGACTTATCCCCAGTGCTAGCAAAGAGCCCACTGCTGAGACACACACACTGACAAGCAAACACACAGTCCTTCCCCCACCCACACTCGGTTCAAGTAGCTCCTGACATCACACAACGCAAACTCAGCACATCCCTGATTCACTAAATACCTCAGCTAAGGACTTCTGGACACAAACAGCAGAATGGGGCAAATATGTAGGACAGTACTATGTACTCCTTTTAAGGCTTACAACATATATTTTGTGTTCCACTGTACAATATATCTGGGTTTGTTGTAATGAAATTTAAATTTCTTTTAAAAGCAATCATGACAGTCACCTTTACTTTCCCACACTCCGCATATACAATGGGACTCTGCCACATGGTCCCACAGGTATGCATGTCCCAGCTGAAGAGATACCATAATAAATAACTCCACAGCTCAGGTTCAGCACCAGTAACATCTCCATTCCTTCTTAAAACCTGGGCTCACAACTAACAGTTTGGAAAAACACATGGTTAAAAATCAAAGTTAAAAAAAATAAAACACTCAAGGTCAAGTTCCCATCATGGAAAAGAAATATCCAAGACCAGCTGCAGCTACAGAGAGTTCTTGGGGAGTTGCATTCAGCACAAGAACCTAAAGGCACTCTGGATATGAAAGAAGTTAAGGTGAATGGAAAGTGGAAATAAAGATCTATTATTATGTTAGAAACAATTTAGAACTAAATAACTCCATTTCGTTGCATGGTTAGCAATAATATTTTAGTCTTATCTAGAAAATCTACCACTCAACTTTTCATCATCTGGGGAAATAGAGGCAAAAGTTATTCATAGGCCGTGACTAATAATTTTGGATGCCACGGCATCCACATTTTTAACAACACATTAATATTTATACTTTCAGATCTGCTGAGTTAGAGTTAGCCCGGAGCTGTCCTGAGTTGAGAGGCAGGCTGACTGTGAGAAAGGACAAAGGTATGGCATCTAAGACACCAATCTACTTGCTTCTAGTAAAAAACAGAAGGAAAATATAGACCTTTCACCTAGCTGTAGCCAAGCCCATGAAAGACAGTTTCATATACAGAGTTCTGACAGCAATGGAACACCCAAAAACATTCAGCAAGCCAGGCACAGTGGCAGATGCTTGAAATCCCAGCACTCAGGAGGCTGAGACAAGAGGATCACTGAGAGTTCAAGGCCAGCCTGAACTACAGAGACCTTGTCTAAAAAAAAAAGTTAATTAATTAAATAAAAATAAATGTTCAGCAATCCTAAGAATAATAAGCAATTTCTAAAAGACCCCAATTTTCCAGCATCTGCTTAGCTACTACTCTAATGGACAAAGAAGAAAGGTACTCCTCCAATCACAGAGAGCCCGGCTCTCATGTTTGCTGCAAGGACAAGCTCTACATACCAGAAATGTCTCACTAGCACCCAGGTAAAAGGAGAAACATACTATTGGCAACACAGGAACCGAAGCAGAGAAAGAGGGTCACTCCAAACAGAAGCTTCTCCCTGGGCTATACGCATGGCTTGCCATCCTTTCTGAGAAGAGATCTTTTCTCAATAAGAAAAGCCTCATTACTTACCTTGCTGGACCATTTGCGAGCTTCGTCATGGAGCTGCCTGGCCGCCATCATCATGGGCTGGTTAATCACCTCCCCGGCTTTCTGCTCAGGGAACTCTTCATCCTTCTCTTCTGGAGGGGGAGGCCTGGGTGGAGGGACCTCACCCTCAGGCAGAGGTGGTTTGGGAGGAGCAAGCTCATCTGTTAGCTAAGAAAAGAATAAGCAGGTTGTAAGTAAAGCCTGAAGAACTCCCTTCTAGAATTCTTCCCTCCCTCTGAAAACCATTTCTAGGAAAGCCACCCACATTGACAACATGTAAGGCCACCTACACTGAGCCCCAAGGACCATCTGCTGCAATCTCAGCAGAAGTATATTTCTTTCTGCACATAAAGCCAGTAGTACTGTGTCGGACATATCCAGGGCGGCACACACAGTACTACAAGATCAAGGATCCCCAAAGACAACCCCCCAACAGGTGAATTCTGGTTTGGATTCTACCAAACAACTTCCCAATTAGACCTCAGGTTCTTCATTTGTCAAAGGCCACTAAAATCCTGCTTTTACTTATCATGTGAGAAACCATCCCTCTGACCCTAACTTTACACTGAGACCCCAATTAGGGGTTCAAATTTGGGGGGATAGAGAAGCTTCAATTCTTTTTTTTTTTTTTTTTTGCAGAACCGGGGATTGAACTCAGGCCCTTGCACTTGCCAGGGTAGCACTTAGTCCACTGAGCCATCTCCCCGGCCCCTCAATTCTTAAGTATATACCCAAGGACCCAATTTTGTCCTTGACTAACTTAATATCTTTTATTAACATTAAATGAGAAACTCAAATTGTTGCCATAATAAACTTCTCCTGTATCAATACATTTCTAATACTGTTAGTTAGAATACCTATAGGTAATTGCTCTTTCTGTTTGTAGGATTCATATCTGCAAGATACGCCCAGCTAGCTTCATCCAAAACCATGAAAAAACACTCATGGTCTGTTTAATGGGAGAAGGGATCAAAATATTTTAAGTTACAGTTAAGTAAAAATAAACTTTTAAAGCAATGTGTTACTAGGGCCAGAGATACAGCTTAGCAGCACAGCACATGCCTGGCAAACACCAGGTCCTGAGTCCAATTCCCAGTTAAAACAAACAAACCAACCAGAATATAACATGTTACTTTTGTTACTAGAAAGGTAGAAAGGAAAAAACAAAAAAGAAAATTCCTACACATGATTCCAACTACCTCCATTTTACCATTAACAATTGGGAACACATAAAATACCCTCTCCAGAAGCTGTGCAAATCATTTACCACTACTCATTACCTCCACACTTACCAGGGCCAGCTCCTCTGCTCCAGCGACGTCCCTCACTGCAGACAATCCCACAGATACCCTCCTACCTGCACATGGGTGCTTAGGTGTGACTGCACTGGACTCAGGAAGGAAAAATCAAAGATCTGCCTCTAACTGCACTTCCAGACCTCTGGTCCTTTAAGCACTAAAGCACAGTCCACCTCTTCCTCACTAGAGCCTCAATACCCTGCTGCTCAATTTGCTCCATCTCTCTGAATTTACTTACACGGAGCTGTTCTAGGTCTGGTGGAGGAGGCGGGAAGTCAGGCTCCTGAGGTTGGAAGGCTTCTCTGACCTTGGCCACAGCTCCCAGGATCCGGTATCCTGAGTCCAGGAAGCTCTTTTGCAGGCCTAAACACAAGACATTCACTTTCAGCTGGGCAGGTCAGGGCCCCAGCAGACAAACTGGTTTCCATTCACAAAAGCTGGATGTGGAGCTGCCAGTAAGCATCATGGGCAGGGAGTGAAGGGAAAGGAAGGCAGGACAAGGCAGATGCCCCGCATTCGCAGGACAGGAAGGGTCACAGACAAGTGGCTGCTGCTGCTGCGGTACTCAGGGCACCTTCTGGCTGTACAACTAACAAGAGTTTAGCAGATTCCCAGCGTGAACGTGGTGACCTCGCCCATCACCTCTTTGCAGAGGCAGCTAAGTCTCTCACACAGAACTTGGGAGGTGGCAGTGTCAGAGGGAGCACAGATTCCCTGAAGCACCTCTCATCTTTCTCCTCTTCCTTTCCTGTACCTGGCATTTAGCAGTAACCCTTGTAGGCTGTGTCTAGTCACAGGAAATTCAGGAATCTACTCAAAATATTAGAAGCCCCAATTAGGAAAACAAGCCTGTTTGGCGATGGCAGACTATGACAAGGATTCTGCCTGGCCCAGGGCTGAATCGGGAAGCCTCTCCTTCCCACTCTCACTGACTTCTACTCACAGACAAATGAGAAAGATTGGGAGTTTAAAACAGGAAAGAATTTAGATACTTCTAACCCAGGGAGTGGCTCCAGCTACACTCTGTTTTAGTGGCACTGAAAATATGATTAAAATCCAGCTTGGGGAAAAAGCAAAACAAAACTGGATTCATTTAGTGGGGGGGGGTCAGTGAGACCCAGAGTTAAAAATCTCTCCAGATTTGCCAGAAATAGAAACTGCTTTATACAGAAGGGCATATGAGAAGTTAGAAGGCCACCAGTTACATAAGCTAAATGATTTGTAAACTGGTTATCGTGAAACTTTTGAGAAATTTCCATGATGACTGAAAAGGCTGAGGAACTATTTGCTCAAACAACATTAAGAAAGCACAGAAGGGCTGACCCAGAGATCACCAAGCCTGCAAATACTGCAGATGTGGACAGAAAGCCAGTAAGCTAGCACTCATCAACCAGGTGTCGATAGTTCCCGCTGCCAGACTTTGTAGGTGGTGACTGTGAGGTCCATGGTTTCTTATCACCTTTCCGCAGCCTTTCAGCTGAGGTGAACCACATCGTGCATTCTTGCTTACCAGGGTCAGAAATGTTTCCGGCCACAGCCTTTGCATCCATCACCATTGGGGAGATCGTTTTGCTCAGTTCATCAGAGGCGGCTTTCACAGCCTCACGGAACTTGGGATCTTCAGAGTTCTCCACTTCCCTCTTAGCCACCAGGAGGATCCGGTTGGCCCGACGAGCAATGCTGGTTGCCCCAGCAACCAGCATCTGAGGCTGAATGTTGGCCATGGCTACCTTACACTTGTCCAGGTCTTTTTTAATTGCTTCTTCGGAAGCATCCAACAGAGACTTGGTATCAATGGCTTCGTCCACCAGCCCTGTCAGAAGGAAGGAAAAAGAAAAAAAAAAAAAAAAAAAATTAATATCTATTTTAGAACAGGACTCTAAAACACTGTTGTCCATTCATTTCTCATGAGAAAGTACAACACTCAGAATTCTCTCCATTTGAAACTCTTCCTACACAATCAAAAGTTTCCAGGTAAAAGCCAGAGTGAGGAGGCAAAAAAGCTGAAGACAGTTCAGAGGTCATGTGGAGTCACCTCATTCATACCAACCGTGGTCGCTGGTCTTCTCAAATCCACCACAGACAACCAGAAATGAAAAGACATCAGGAGGAAGCAAGGATTGCAGCGGAAATCTTCAGCACATCACCACAGCGTTATCTGTTAACATTTTCTCCCTCTATCTCACTGCCCAGCCATCTGCTGATTGTTGGCAGCTTGCGGTGCCCAGGATGAGCCACACAGAAGATTCCAATAACCCTAACAGCCTGTTTCTTATTTCTGTTACCTCTCTTCAGACACTTCCAGAGCTCCACTTTCATCTCTGGCTGCTACAGACCCCTGTCACACAGCAGGTTCTGCAGGGCCAGCGAACAACCTACCCTCCTCTTCTCCTCCCTTGCCTCCTGTCCCTCCCGACAGAAAGAAGTTTTCAGAAGCGCACCACCTCAGTCTCACAGACCCAGGTTTGTTAGCAGTTGGCTGCTCCTTTAAAAAAAAAAAAAACTACGTAGTTGATAAGTTGGAGGAAACTCTGAGACAAGTTGTATTAAATGGTAGCCATTGTGGTTCCTTGAAATGTGAACCTACTGAAAACGACAGGGATGCTTACTGTATCCACAAACACCGCCTCCCAGCCTGAAACCAAACTCTGGCTCAGACTGGGCAAAGACACTATTCAAAGAGAAGATAGGAGCTGCAACAATAAACATCACACTGAGAGGGCAGCACTAAAATAAAAGAAACTCAGTCTCTCTTTGGACAAAGTTGCAAGGCTTGAATGAGAAGCCGCCACTGCTCGGCAGCCTTAATCAGGGCCAAGTACACTGCGGAGCACCTGACCGTCCCTTTATCCAGTTACTGCTGAGTAACATAACCAGCGCTGCTTGGGTTTCTCCGGACACATTCCTCACGGATCAGACAACGAGAACTTTACCCAAAACTCTTACCTGTCATTTTTTCAACATTATCAATCCATTGATTCTTCATGGTTTCAAAATGTTCATAAGCAGCTTGGTTTCCGGGGTTCCTAAGTAAGATGCGCGCAGCTGAAACCACCTGGCAAAGATAAAATAACCTGTAAACACCTGAGGACCTTCCCACTGTGACTACAAACCTGCGCGGTTGCTTTCTCTTTTCTGCCTACAGATGGCGCCATACAGCCCAAAGCCCACAGGCTGACCGTGCTAAGGTTTGGTTTTGAATAGCTCCTCAGAGCTGGCAGCGGGCAAGTCTCACAACGGTTTTCCAGTCAGTGACCTGATTTCATTTTTTTGCTTGATGCTGGGGATCAAACCCTGGAGCATGTGAACACCAGGCAAATGCTCCACCATGGAACTTTGTGCTCGGCCCCTATGGCCTGAATATTTTAGGGGAAGTGGAGGATGCTGCAGAGTAAACCCAAGGCCTGTCCTCTGAACTACATCCCTAGCCCTGTCTATCTCCATCCATCCATCCATCCATCCATCCATCCATCCATCCATCCATCCATCCATCCATGGTCTCACTAAATTGCCCAGGCTGGGCTCGACCTTGCAGTCTTCCTGCTTCCCAGGGTGGATTACAGGCACACATGCACCACCTTCATCCTGCATGCCCTGATTTTAAGAAAGTAAGAAAATGGCAGAGTAAAAGTGTGTTTGTTTGGTACTTCAGAAGAGCATACAACAACCCTGACATCAACTCTTATCTTTTTTTTTTTTTTTTGCGGAACTGGGGATTGAACTCAGCCCCTTGCACTTGCCAGGGAAGTGCTTATTCCACTGAGCCATCTCCCCGGCCCAACTCTTTATCTTAAAAGCCATTAAGAAAGTTAAAAGTTGGTGGTGCAGTATAAGCCTGTAATCCCAGCACTCTGAGAGACTGAGGCAGGCAGATCACAAGGTTGTGCCCAACCTGGGTAACTCAGCAAGACTCTGTCTCAAAATAAAAAAGGGCCAGAGATGTAGCTCAGTACGAACAAACCAAAGGCCCTGGGTTTGGTTCCCAGGACCCTCACACACACATACACATACATGAGAGAGAGACAGAGAGAGAGAGAGAGAGAGAGAGAGAGAGAGAGAGAGAGAGAGAGAGAGAGAGAATTCCTCAAGCCTGATCATGACCAGTGCACCTGTCTTAGTGCTTTCCACATTAGCTTGTGTAATGCTCACAACAGCTGTGCACAAGGGAGGAGAAAGGCTACAGCTCCACTCTGTACATGTAAAAGCCGAGACCCAGATCATGTGATTTGCTCCAGAGGTCCTGGGTAGTCAGCGGCAATACTTGAGCAAAAAGAAAGTAACATTCACGAAGTTTCCTGCCAAATACTGTCTGTATACCCATATTCTTAGTCCTCAAAAAACGTCCATTAGGAAAGAATTAGCTCCATTTTACAGATGAGAAAACTAAGCCTCAGGTTCACAGAGGAGCTGGGTGTGATGGCACATGCTTATAATGCCAGCATTCTGGAAGCTGAAGCAAGAGGATCTCAAGTTCAAGATCCATCCGGGCAACCTGGTGAAACCCTGTCTCGAAAAAGGAAAACTGGGCTAGGACTGTAGCTCATTGTGAAAGTCCTGGTTTCAGTCCCCAGTATCCTGGAAGAAAAAAAAATTCAGAGTACTCAAGTTGCCTGGAAAGTCCTAGTTCTTTCCAAAACTAGCATCCTAAGCTTAGTTTTCTGTTTGTTTGTCTGTGTTTGCCTGTTTTAAGAATCTCAGAATTTAAAATCTTCAGAATTTTATACTGAAGTTCTCTGTTGGATATTCTGTCTTTTACCAAAGTTTTCTTATTTGTTTGTTTGAGACAGCATCTCACTATGTAGTCCATGCTGGCCTTAACTCACGGCGATCTTCCTGCCTCAGCCTCCCAAGGGTTAGGATTACAGATAGACATGTGCCACCACACCTAGTCTAAAGTTTGGTTTTTTGGGG